TTTTTCTTCTTAATTTGTTAAAATCTTTTAAAGAATTTTATAAAAATATTATTTTTTCTTACAAGTTGAATCCTTATCTTAGAAGTGCATAGTATGGATTTCTCATTCCTTGACCATACATAGATAAGTTAAAATCTAATAGAGGAAAAACGGTGTTGCAGTTAACCCTATTCTAGATCACACATTAATGGCTTCATGAGCTATATGAACATTCGATTAATTTATCATTTTTGTTGCCTATTAGAAAAAAGAACAGAAGGTGCAAATGAAAATGCAACATAAGGTAATTGAACTGGCAATATGTATTGCAAGTATTACCTACCCAAATGATTGATATGGTTGATGCATGTTTTTTTTGGCCACATTTGTTGTGATATATGCTTGTCATTTTTAAGCGCTACCCTTATTTGTCGCTTAAATCATAGTAACTGTAAGTTGTTTTGTAAATGGAATTTCCTATGCACTCTGTTGTGTGGCATTTTCTTATACAATTTCTATTCTAAGACTTTTTGTTTGCTCCTAGTCATTGGATTATCATGAAGTGGATTTTAATTTATTTACTTCACTATTTTCTTTGACAACATTTTTCCTTTTGTCCTAAAGGCTTGTGGGTTTAGGGTCTAATCCAAAGAGCTTGAGGTTCCTCTTGATTGATACTGGTATTCCAATGGTTTTTTATCTTATTATCTGTTCGTCAAGAAAATAAGTAATGGATAATTTGTCCAAGTTTGTATCTCATACCTATTCCATTTTCGACTATGTTATCATGCATCCTTAATGAATATCCTATTTTAATTCTTTTTAATTAAATTTCATTAACCATTAATAGATCTATTGGCCGGAGTGACTCGTCTGGATGGAAAATATTTTTAGAATTTCAATGTTATCTTTCTATTTTGGATATGTTGGTTTTCAAATTGTGTGTCTCTTTATATTTCATTTTTATATTTGATGTATTTTCTTTCAGCAGTGCAGATATTGTAATGAAATTAAATTTTTTTATTGAAAAAAAACTAGGTAATAATAATTGTACCCTAACAAAAGAAAATTGAAAATAGGAATTGCGAATTAGTAACACTAATGGGCTGTCAAAAGTCACCACTTTGTACGATTATGGGCCAGGCTGAACTGCAAGCCCAAAATGGTCACATCCAACTAAACGCCGAGGAGTCAGAATCATTATTGAGATTCCAATTTGTCGAAGCGCCGTAGTCCAAGTCCAGCTTGATGAGCTTAAAAGGACAGTTACATTGCGTATCAAAAACGTTTCTGAATGTTGTATATCATTTGGGAAAGGGATAATTGCAGAAACCTCCTCGAGGTTTCTTGTAGTTGCACTCACCTCCACTAAGGTTTTGAAAATAGCACTAACCTCTCTTGAACTTAAGGTTTTGATAGCAGATTCAGCACATGTCAGAGAAAATGTCATTAAAAAAATCTTGTGAGAAGTGAGATAATAATTTTGTTCCATTTATACCCTTTTTATTTATTGTGAGGTTGTATTAGTAAAAGAATGAATATGAGATTCAAAAATGTATATAGTATACAACCAACTCCAAAAACTCTCCTTTACTAAAGAAACTTTTTGTATTAAGTTGAGATGATAAAGGATTGCTTACCTATTGTCTTTTGATTGCCGCAAATTTTGAACAAAAAAATTTCTTAGATTTTGCCTTGATTTCTGCTTTCTTTCTCCTTCTGCTTTATGAATGTTTAAGATAAAATGAGTTCAACGAAAACTACTAGAACTTATTTTCTTATGGAGTCTTGTCTAGAAGTTTCTTTCCCCTACATTTTTCTTGCTTCTACTTCTCTTTTATGCAGATAATGTACAATTTGGATTGTCCTCTCAAGTGCTGTCAATCACAAAATAATATCATATTGGAGCATTAATTGGCACCATTTTGTGGCAACATTTTGTAAGTGCACTTACAATGTTTAATTAGGTAAGAAATAATCATTGATCTTGTTTAACTAGTTATCTTGAACTTGTCTATTGTTCCTTTTTTTTGTCCCAAATTTGCTTACTAACAACCTTAAACTCTAAGGGTATATGAGTAAATTCACCCTGTGCCCCAAATTCATGTTAGGGAGATTAGTACTATTTTCAAAATCTCAGAGGAGATGAGTGCAACTGTCAGAAACCTTAGAGGAGGTTTTTGCAATTATCCCTTTTGGAAATCTCCCTTTCAGCCGCCTCAAGAAAATGAAAGCCGAAAAATGAATTAGATGGACACGTAGCTGTTGTGGATCTTTCACTCAATCTAATTATCAATTTTGTGATGTGAAACTGACAAATTTAGATTTGGATATTTGGTTACTGCCATCCGTTTTGGATATTTGGCATCAGATGCCATGAATGAATTCCGGGCTTCTCAAATGTAACGGGTACCATATCACACCCGTGTGGTTCGAATTTCTAATCGTCTCATTGGGCTAATTTCCTTTTCCTATAGGACAAAAGTAGTTGAAAATTATTGCCATCTGACCATATATATATATATATATATATATAATCAACAATTTTAGATTTGGATATTAGGTTACTATTATACTCTTTTTTTTTCACTCTAATACATTTCACTAGTAGATAAGGCATAGCCTATGTGTATACAAATTAAAAGCAAAAATTTATAAGGAAAATAAGTGGAATTTATTTTCTTTAAGATAGAAAAGATGGAATTTGTTATGAGTTCATGATTTATAGACTGTAGGTTTCAAGAAAAGAATTCGAGGTTGAAATACAAACTTTGCGGTCGCCATTATTCACAAAGCCCTTGAAACTTGGTCTAGCTTCGGGTGATTTCTTGGGTATTAAAGTATAAATGGCCCTTATAATCCTTGTTTGGTGAGAATTTTCTAAATACAGTTTAGGCAATTTCGATATATTGAGTAAGCTCCACACCCTTAATCCCCCCTCCGGCTTCTTAAACCCCAAATCCTACCCCTCCTGAGCAAAACCAGGACGACATGAGAGGTGTACATTGTACACTTATTTGTTTGGATAAAGATTATTTGCTAAATTTTATCTGTTTGTATTATTAACACATTTTTTAATTATTTTTTTATCTCATATAATCACATCAGAATGTTATGTTTGGATAAGAGTTTATTTGGATGATTTATTTGAAATAATTACTGTAGCACTTTTTGTGATGTGATGTGATGTATGTGAGATAAAAAGATGATTGGAAAAATAAAAAAAGTGATTGGAATTTGTGAAGTAAATTATTTTGTATTATATCTATCTCAAAGTGTTTCACAAAATTATCCCAAATAATCTACTATCCAAACACACTAAAATCAATGGTGAATCCAAGCAGAATTATTAGTGTAAAATTGCAATTACTAACCCTTAAGCATACTGCTAAGTGACAAAAATAGTCCCAGTTTGATAATGTGTTAGAAGTGTGAGCGAAGCTACAAACCTATAATTTTTTTTAAAATTTCACATATGACATATTGTACCACTACAGATGTTTGCTCCCTAAAAAATGTACTGGGATCAATACAAATAAAAAATTGAGGTGGGGCTCAACATTTGATATCAAAATTTTGAAAGTTAAAGCTAGTAGAATTTAAGTTTTAAGGTTTATTCATTTAATTGATATTTAATTTTACAATACTTGCTGCTTTATTACTTAGTCTAACATCATATTGTTATATTAATTTTGAATTTATATGTAATAATCAATTATGTAGTTAATAATTATGGTTTAGGCATTTTACATGTAACTACTAATTTATAATTAAATTAAGAATAAATCTGCTATAAATCGCCATTAAACTACTAAATACACAAATGCAATGCATAAACCGTTTGTAATTGATGAAATATTACATTTGTTTAAGATTTGGTGTAAATAATGATATAAGTTGCGTATTTGGATGCACATTTGTGATTTGTTTTCCTTTTCGTTTTTTGCTTTTTTTTTTTCTTTGAACATTGTCAACGAAATTAAGTGTTCCTTTTTTTTTTTTCCAACATTATCAGAAGATAAGTAGGATGGAATCAGGGGGAATGGCGAGGACCACCTCCTCCTCCCCCCCCCCCCACCCCACCAACCACTTCTCAAAGCTTTAGAAAATTCAGTTTCTATTTCTTGCAAAATTAGAAATTTTTAGAACATTCTTTTCAAATTTAAAGTTTGCCCCAATAAAAACTTAAAAATATTTTATGATATACATATAAATTTAGATACATTCAAATTCGCGCCATCAAGATGCATTTCTGGTTTCGTCTTTGTAAGTAATCCTAGAGGACAATTATAATGTATATATGACATTATAGTTTTGAAACAGGTGTAGTTGAGCCTTTTCAACGAAATTAAGTGTTCCTTTTATTCTAACATTATCTATAGAGGACAATTGGGGGATATGGTGAATTTTCGTTCCTAAACTTTTTGGCTAATATCGATTTAATCCCTAATTTTTTTTTAGACAATTTAATACTCAAACTTGTTTTGCAATTCCAATTAAGGATTGCGACAGTGGCACCACTACATAAAATCGATCTGACTCCTAATTAACTAATTAAACAGAGGTATTATGAGAACATGGCTTACAAGACAGTAATAAAATAAGTAAATCGTGTAAAAAATAACCACATATTTTTTAAAAAAAATTTAATCTTGTGATTTTTTTATATAATTTACTTGATTTATTAAAGTCCTGTGAGTGATGTTTCCAAAATACTCCAATTTAGTTAATCAATTAGGAGCCAGATCATTTTTAGGTGGTGGCACCGCCATAGACATCCTTAATTAGAATTGATTAGAATTGATAAGTTCATGTATCAAATTGATTAGAAATAAAAGTTAGAGACTAATCAACAGTAGTGAAATAATTTAGGGACAAAATTAGTCATTTTCCCATACAATTATAATGTATATGTGTCAATTTACTAAAATAGGTGTCGTTGAAGCCGTCTGCTTCTCACATTTAATATTTTTTGTTTTTTCAATTAGTTCAAGTAGCAGCCTCCCCCTGTTGCTGTTGATGTTCTAACTTCTATCTATCGATTTGTTCCGGTATTCTCTCTAAACCTTTATTTCAACAAGCTTTCCTTAGAGCTTTCAAGTACTATATAGGAAGAAGTCTTAATTACTCAAACCACTACTATCTTTCTTCTGCTGCTGAATAGAGCCACCCACTCAAAAGTTATCTCCAAAATTGTCAGGGGATTTCGAATCTTCTGCTGCTTACAAGTTACAACCCCCCTACTTATACTTGTTCTTCTGGGTCATTAATATCTGTTGTGGAATAACAAGAAAAAACTGACACTTCTAGGAAGCAAATTAAATCTGCCGGGTTCCGGTGATGCCGGTGATGGTTTCTCAGTGATCACGTACTCCTCATCAGGATGGTGGCCGCGACGGCTTTGGTGGGCGGCCTGAGTTCTTTGAAAGATCGCAAGAAACATTCTTGTCTCTGGTTACCCAGGAATACCTTCTTCTTCTTCACTCTCGTCCTGGTTTTTCTTTCCGGCTTCACTTTCTTCCACTTCTTCTCCTTGAAAAGAGGTACTGGTAACTAGTATATTCAGGAAGAAAAAATCTAGTCAAGAAATCAGTTTAACTGCTGAATTTTAGCTTAGTTTCGCTAAATCCCAAGAAAGAGTTTAATAGCTGAATTTGCTAATACGTTTCTTTTTTTGGATTTTGTTGGGTTTGAATTTTGATATATTATTGATTTCTGTTGGATTAAAAAAAATTCCCATGCCATCCAATACTATTCTCTTGTGGGAAGTGAAATTGAAGTGTCGATGAATGACTTCTATAATTGAACTAAAACTTATGATTAATTGATTGATCGTGTGATTATGTAGATGAGTACTTTCGTCCAAAGCTCAAGTCCACGTTGCATATTTTCCCGATGCAAGCTGTTTCCGGCGAATCATCGCCGGCGACTCCGGCCATCACAATTCAAGAGACGGTAGCTCTTCCTGACCAGGTTCTGGTGTTCCTAAAGTACCCTCCGTCAACTCCGTTATTTACCAAAGATGACATCAGATGTTTATACTTGTCCTCGCCCAACTCAACCAATAATCATCATCATCATGATCAGCTTGAGCTCTTCCCAGAATCAGTGGAGGACGAACACCTGGATCGGCAGATCGTACGGTGCCCACATGTGCCACGTGGCTTGGTGGTTTCTGTTTCCTTCAAGGCCAAGGGCAACTTCCCAATCGGGCCCATATATCGGTGGGACTCATTGGCCTATGAGGCGATGATCGACCATGACAACACCACGGTGGTTTTTGTCAAAGGTTTTAACCTACGGTCGGGACGGGTCTATGACCCTTCCAAATTCAAGTGCGTCTACGGTTGGGATTTGTCGAGACCCAAGTCAACGTTGTTATCCGACGCCGTTTCAGTAGCTCAGGAAATTGTGCGTTGCAAGACGCCTAGGAGCATCTTGACTGGGTCACACAAGAATTGGCATGGGAATGTTTCAATCAAGGTTTCGGTTAGGCTAGTTGGTAGGAGGAAGATGTTGAATTCAATTGCAAGGCCCGAAACCGTTTGAAGCCCGGCCCAAAAGTCGAGAAACGGCACCAAATGTGCATTTGCACCATGCTAAGAAATCAAGCACGCTTTCTACGGAATGGGTGATGTATCACGCTCACATTGGCGTGGAACAGTGGTTTATTTACGATAACAACAGTGTTGATGACGTTAAGGACGTAATCCAATCATTAATTGATGATAGTTACAATGTTTCGCGACATGTGTGGCCGTGGATCAAGTCCCAGGAAGCTGGATTTGCTCACTGTGCTTTGCGGGCAGGATTCGTGTGAATGGGTTGGATTCATCGACGTTGACGAATTCTTTCACTTGCCATCGGGCTTGTCACTCCATGATGTTCTCAAGAACCAGTCCAAGTCAAAAGAGATCGTAGAGCTACGGGCCTCGTGTCACAACTTTGGCCCGTCGGGCCTTCGCAAGGTCCCCATGGAAGGGGTAACCGTAGGGTACACTTGTCGAATGAAGTCCCGGAGAGGCACAAGAGCATAGTGAAACCTGAAGCACTGAATGATACATTGATCAATATGGTGCACCATTTTCACTTGAAGGCTGGTTTGAGGCCAGCCAATTTGGGCAAGAACATGCTAGTCATCAACCACTATAAGTACCAAGTGTGGGAAGTGTTCAAGCAGAAATTCGACATGAGGGTGGCTACATATGTCTCTGATTGGAAACAAAAGCGAAATGGACGGTCCAAAGATCGAACACCTGGTTTAGGGACCAGTACTGTTGAACCACCAGATTGGACGAGCAGGTTTTGTCAGGTCAAGGACACTGGCTTGCGGGATCGTATAATCGATACGTTTGCTGAAACAAGGACCGGCATGTTGCCGTGGCAAAAGAATATTAGCTGAGCCGGAAAAATCAATAACAGTTGCAGGTGGAGCTGGAGGAAGTGAACTGTGCATGAGGAACGGAATCCAATCAGTAAAACCAAGAAGGTAACTCAGTGTCACGAGGAGGCCTTCTTGGATTGTAGGGATCGTAGGTAAGATTCAAATTACACTTACAAAGAAAAAAATTTAAAAATAGTGTTAAAATATTTCTTTGAATTGTATGCCTACTAGTTTCTAATACAAAAAGCCTCTTTAGACTCTTCCTTTCTTGTAAATTAGGATAGAATAGGTTATACAATTGTTATCGTTACGAATAAAAACAAAAAAACCAAGAAGGTACCAAGTGTTTTGTTAATAGTAAACTCACTGTATATTGATGCAAGAAAAAGAAAGAACTCTACATATTGGCTAGCTTTTTGTTCCTCCATTTTATTTTTCTTCCTGTAATAAATTGTTAGGGGTATAGAGTACTGGCCTCATTTTTTTTGTACTTATGTGACATTTTAACTGTTAGAATACAAATTAATTGCAGGAGTTTGCCCATTGTTTATTTTGTCAATTAGTCACTTTGCAAATATTGCCATCATCTGGTTTTTGCGCATGATTTGTCCGTCAAGCTGCTTTTTGAGCCACCGGCTTTGTATTATTATTATTATTATATATAATATCAATCTAATGGGGCTTAGTCGGCCGCTGATGGTGACCATGTTCTAAATTCTAATGCATTTGTTATCAGTTGACTTTGCTTCCACCCTTCACTATTTGGAGTTTAGACTTGTCTGACTTGTTCTAATTGTTCATTAGTCACTAATGCAAGTTTATTTGTAAGTTTTCCAGCTAACCTGCTGTCTAATTTTTCTGCTTGAAAAGAGTATTTGCCTTTCAATTCGTTGAGATGCATAATAGCTTGTTTGCCATCACAAGCTATTCATGGTTTTTTTTTAAAATTGCCCTCCCAATCCCCAACTATCAGGCACTCACAATTTGAATCTTGAATTTAATAGCGGAAAAGACTCTAAAAACAAGCTATTCATGCTGACAAGTACCAAGCTATAGCAAGATTGACTTTTGAGGTAAATTTTCAAGTGCTTGTTAACATGGTTGATGTTTTGAAGGACGGATTATCATTAATTTTAAAAAACACAAAGAAACACAAATTAAATGAATATTTAGTACGTAGATTTAAGGTCTCAACAAACATTTACAATTTTTTGGAGTGATGTATGTACTCTACAAGAAAGCTACACATGAAAACTGTGCACTTGATCTTAAGTATAAAAGTAGTTGTTGAACCTTAAATCCTAAAACCCAAAAAAGCGAAAGAAAAGAGACAAAAACGAACAGAGAAAGCAAAGGCTTTTTTCTTTCTTTTTCCAAAGGAAAAAGTGAAGGCTGTCGAGTAGGAGAGATAAGAGGGAGAGTAATCGTAACTGCCTATTTGATTCATGTAAGTTATGCCACAATGATGCTTAATTTGGAAATGGTCAAACGATCAATCATGCATTAGCTACGAAGTCCATCTTTAAGCGATCTATATGATTGCACCCACAATCTGCACGAATGGACGAGACACTGGAGATGACAACAAAGGGGAGGTAGGACCAAATCTGCCCTCTATTCTAAACTCACGCTCATGTAACTATTGACAAAAATGCCCTTATCTTTCAAATTTGTTTGATGATTATTAATTATATAGTTTCAACTTTCAAGACAAGTATACTTACAGAGCAAAAAAAAAAAGGAAGAACAAGCGTTAACATGTAAAAGGCAACAATTTTAAACATTTTACTAGTGCTTAAGAATATTCAATTTTAATTTAGCAATTCAGATTTTTCACTTTCGAATAAGCATGTAAATTGTAAATAGCAATATCTAGATATTTTAATTCCATAAATTTAAAATCCAATTAAGCAATTTTCAAGGTGAAATATGCAATCATATTGACTTCTTCATGCTAATATGTGCCATTTGATTTTATCAAAATCAATCTAAAAAGAATTCAACAAAATAAATATAGTACTCCATAAAAGGAATAGGGAAAAATTTAAAAAACTATAAAGAATTATAAATTCTAGAATTAAATAAACAAGAAAATGAATTTCTATATAGCACTAACATAATGATTAGGGTGTGGATTTTTTGTCTTTAAGAAAGATATTATCGTTTAAATACTGTAAAAGTTTTCATTAGACATATAAAAGATAAAAATTTTAGTGTATAAAAATTGTACAGGGTGTGATTTAACCTCTCCCAAAAAGAAATAGGAGTAGCACCACGAAATTGTCTATCCACATGAAGCTTATTAACCCATTAGTATAAGAAAATTGATTGTGCAAATCTAGAGGTAGTTGGCTGTGATTTGGTGGTGATACAACATCTTAAGCCTTACATCTTAAGTCATTTGAGGGGTGAAAAAAGTTCGTTCGGGATAAACAAATAGGAGAGGAGAGGAGAGGAGAGGAGAGGTATCAGATTTACATGCAAGAAAAAATTATGAGGATAGATTGTTGGAGAAAGTGAAAGACAAGTAACAAAAGCAAAGGCGGAGAAATAAAAGCATCTACTACTTGACAAGACACTCAAAGGAGAAGGCACAAACTTCACAAAAGGTAATGACTTCGTGTTTGCATAGAGCAAATTTGCGGTACCGACGTATTGTCTCACAACCATCACAACCATAGAGCAAATAGCCTTAGGCTGGTGGCCACACCCTTTAAGGCTTTGTGAGGTGGAATCCTTATCTCCCCATCAATTTGTCAGCATTTGTAATTCTTCAAAAAATTCATCCGGGTGCACCAGAAAAATTCAGACGGGTGCGTGGTGCATCCGTTTGATCGCGGTGGTGGTTCTGTCCCATCGATCCCCCATAGGTCCAGTTGGATCTTCCCGTAGTTAGATCAGGATAGAGTAGGAGTAGCAGTAGGGATTACGATTGATAAAAAAAAAAAAAAAGACGTATTGTCTCACAGTTCTTTCAATTTATTGTGCCATTGTGCCTTTCTTTTGCAGCTTGCTTCCTCTCTTTTGTCGTGTACATTTTGCATCAGAACTGACCTTAAAAGGATTTGAGTTTTCTAAAAGAAAATTTAACGCATGAAGATTGCTAAATAGAATTCAAAGGTAGACACTTGATTGTTTTCTTTTTTACCTCCCAATCCTCTCCACATCTTTCTTACCCCAAACTATCAGATTTAGGATTTAAATCCTGAATCTAGTAGTAAGGAGAACCACTTGAGTTAATTTTGTCTAGCAGAAAATTAGACAAAGTTTGAGGTAAAATTCAATGTTGCCCGAATTTGTTTTGTTGGATGTTAATAATCCTCATTTTCATTTTCTTTTCCTAATGTCGTAGCTAATTAATCTAGTCCTCTTGGGACCAAGAAATTTTATGTAAGTTCGGAGTAACTATTAGGCATGTTTAATATTTGTCTAGGATAAACAAAAAAGTTTCACAAGAATATATAAAAATCTCACTTACTAATTCACATGTTAAGTGGAGCCCAATTGACATATTAAATGAAATCAAGTGAGACCTTTATATGTCTACATGAAATTTTGTAGTTGGTTTGGAAACAACTGCTTAGTAGTTGATTCGAACTAATATAAAATTTTTCCTTTCGACCATTGAAATTTTGTTATCCTTAGAGAATTCAAATGGAAATAAATCTAATTTCTTGTTATTTCGTGGAATTGTCTAAATGACATCGGAAGAATTGTGCAAGGTTGGTTCTTCAGGGATCATTGAGGAAACAAAACACTACACTTATTGGCGGATCTTCATCAAAACTTCCCTCGAAAGGAAATACAAGTGCATGAAAGTATGCCATCTAGCTTTTTTTAAAATTCTTTTTATCAGCGGAGGAGTGGAACTTAAGAATTGAAGAAAAAGAAGGGGGATTTCAATTGAGAATTCTAATTTTTAGCGTCTCAATCTCTATTATATTAATGGATTGCTAGAAAATATCTAGCACGATTTGATTTATATGATAAAAATCCGCACTAATGACCTCAACCTCAACTGTAATCACTAGACCAATGCTTTCTCGACAAGTAGTCATCTACCTATTTCATTACAAGTTAATTAAATTATAGTTTGTTTAGAACTAAGTATGGATTAAAGAGAGAAAGAGAGAGAACAGTGTATGGATTTATTCCAATTGAACACGATCTTAATTTGGATACGTAAAACACGCCTAAAATGAATTTAGCCATAAGAACTACAAAATCCTTTCTAAGAGTGCTATTCACGCATAAATGATTAATTTGCTGTATTTTCTATCATCTAATAATTGCATTGAATTACAAAATCAGTTAAAATGGAATCACCAATAAAAAATACAAAATCATTTGAACTAAATTATGCTTTCCTAGAACAAATTATAAGTGAATTCTTACTTACTCGAACTTTGTAAGGTTTGATCTTGTCAAGGGTGCGTAAGCAGCCTGAGCATATTACCTAGGTGCAATCCCAAAAATAAGCATTATACAAAGTTTCTCTTTTCTTATTTACTTAATTGAATTCTAAAAGTGTCATCGATAGAAGTCAATTAGAATCAAGAGCGTTTCTCTTAATTTATTAAGAATGTAATTATTAGATTCAACATCTAGATTGGGTCCAACTCTTAATAATAAAAATTCGTATGACTAAATCTTATAAATGAAATCAATTAAATAGTAATTTAATCTATTTATTCTGCAAAGTCAGAATTTTTGCCAAGAGTAGTTTTTTATTTTATTTTATTTTAGGGCAAGTGTAAAAGTAGTTAACGTTGTACTATGCCAAAAAATTTTTGACTACCTTAATAAAAAAAGAGACTTGTAGTTTTGATCCTCAATATTTGGCTTGTATGCCAAATTGGTATCCAATGGTTCTGCCAAAATAAATCTAATCATCAAAGTTTATAATTTTAGGTATATTCGAGACAATTAACGGAAATAGATCAATGACTAACGGTCAATATCAAATTGTCATTAGTCAACAATTTTGACTTTGCATTTTTGGTCCCTAATGTTTTGATTTTGAATCATTATATTTTGGGTAAAATACACGGAACCCCCCTATGGTTTCGCGAAAAGACACGGAACCCCCCTATCGTTTAAAAACATACACATAAACGCCCTAAACTTCATAACTAAAGTGGAAATAGACCTATAACCGACTGAGCGAACTACTGATGATGGGTCTGCGAGGGTCTTTTGAAAAGATCGTGAGTTTCATTCCCAAGCTACCCTTCAATTACTATATAGAAGGCGCTACATATTAGGGGAGAATAGATTTGAAGCTATCAAAGAGTGAAAGGAAAAAGGGAGAAGATCTACTTCTGAATATATCGAAGTCGTCATGTCCACTTCAGCAAATTTTGGAGGAGGTTTGACAGATCTAAGGTATGCATGGTCTCGGTGCTTCTGCAAGAAAAGAGCAAAAATCAAGATCGTGGAGTCCAACAAACCCTCAAAAGGTAGGCTGTATTACATTTGTGAAGATCAATCCTGCTCCTTTTGGGCATGGTGCAATCCTCTAAGAAGGGATGGAATGGGCAATGAATGTACTAGTAAAAGTCCAGAAACAAGATTAGACGAAAGTTCTGGATTCTCTCCAAGAGTGAACAGTAATGAAGGTGTGCTGGCTGTGAACAATGGTGACATTTTGTTGGGGCTACATGCAAAGTTGAGCACGGTTGAAGGCACTGTGGGGTTGTTGAAAGTGATAATGATTTTGTCTCTTATTATTTGTTGTTTATCTCTAGTTATTGCTGCTTATAGAAAATAGTAGTTTGGTTAGTGGCAGTATAATGATGTACCAAATAATGTAATAATTTTAGTTTATGAAAAAATTCCAAATTTTGTCATGATTTGTATTCCTGTCTGAAAGAAAGATAATAACCATACAACCTATTTACTCATGAACCAACTGTAATTTGGATAGTCATAATATGATAACCACAATCCAATATATGGCATTACAAAAAAGAGCAATAATGCCAATAATGTCATTACAAAAAAGAGCATCACTTACAAAATATGTTAATCCATTATACAATGTCTGCTCTAAAGATAGCATATATACCATTACAACTTGTTTACATGGATACAAGTCCTAAAAATAACATTCCTGATTCTAATTTTTCTTAAATCTTTTGGATCGAGAACTAGGGTTGTTATCAGTAATTGCAGCAGTGCTGCTTTGTTGAGATGCTTGATGCACTGGTACTTCTCTGGTTGGGGCTGAAGTGGAAGCTGTTCTTGCCCCTCGTTGGGTATTGCTTGGAGCCTGCAACCAGAGTAAAAAATTTACTGCTGGAATAATTATCAAGAGTACATAGTGCAAGAAAAATTCAAATACTTAAATGTACCTTGTACAACTTGGATTTGGGATGAGGAGGTTCCTTACAAGTTTTCCTATTATGGCCAGCTTTTAAACATCTCTTACAGTATACTGGCAACCCCTTTTTGGAAGCTCTTTGTGGATCTCTCGGTTCATCCGGACCTCTTCTCCTAAGTTTTTTAGGTCTCCCAGGTTGTTTCTTCACAAATGGTGGATTTAACAGCTGCATTCCACTATCAATCCAGTGTTCTTTGGATGGAACAGCTCCAATGCTATAAGCATATGCCCTCAAGTATGCCTCTTTACTATAGCACTCATCGACATAGTTTTCAACCTTCATCCGCATGCTTTGAATGGCAGAAATAGCATGCACACATGGAATTCCAGTCAACTGGAATGCACCACATGAAACAGCTTCTACGTTGCAAGTTCACAACGGAGGTTCTGTTGAAACCATCAACCTCAAATGATTCAATACCATCAAATACAGCAATACAATGTCTGCTCTTCTCTACACTTTTAGCTAACTTCTCAACAATGTTTGGACACAATCTGCCTCCATATTTCTCCATGCCTTGCCTCTTCAATGTCAATCGTTGCATTAACTTTCTTCTGAAAAATTCAAGAAGAGTCACAATTGGCTCGTCTCTTGCTTTTAAAATGTAGTTGTTGAAACTCTCATTAGATTGTTGACTGAAATATCAGTCTTAGCAGCCATTCCATAATGTGCTCTAGACCACAAATGATATGGCAGCCTTTTTAACCAACCAGCAGCAGTAAGGTTCTCTCCATTTTGTGGCTGAGCTATCTCCAAAGCATTCAATGCTCTCTTGAAATCATCACCATTAGTTGCTGATGCAGTAGCCCAAAACAATTCTCTCAGTTCACTGTCTTTGAACTTTGCCTTAAAATTCTCAAACAGATGCTTAAGGCAAAATCTGTGTTTTGCACCAGGAAATAGCTCCTCTATAGCATGTACCAGTCCTTTTTGCCTATCAGAAATGAAGGTATAAGGCACTACATTGCCCCTTCCAATATGAGTAATCAGTTCCTTCAAAAACCAAGTCCAACTATTATAGTTTTCTGCTTCAACAATGGCAATGGCTATGGGAAACATATTGTCATTCCCATCCCTTCCAAGTGCTGCTAACAGTTGACCTCCAAAGGGCCCCTTCAAAAAGCAACCATCTAGGCCAATGATTGGTCTACAACCTGCAAGAAAGCCCTTTTTAAGAGCACCCAAGCCATAGAAAAGCCTTTGAAATGTTGCCCTTTCCTCAATAGACCTCCTGTCTATTTGTATAGCGATATGACTGTCTGGATTTGACTGTCTAACCGTGGCAGCATAATCCCACAGCCGTTCATATTGCTCCATATCACAACCTTTGATTGTCTTCCTGGCCTTCCTCTTAGTCCTGTATGCTTTTTTGCTACTTATATTAACCATGAATCTTCTTCTGGCATCATTAATAATGCCATCCAAGCTGCAATTAGGGTCATCTCGAACCTTCTCTTGAAACTTTCTGCTCAGATAAGTTGAGGTTGCATGCTTGTTAGTGTACTCTCTGCCGCAATGGTGCTCTCCCTTTAGTGTTTTGATCTGAAAAGTGTCAGTCCTATTAACTCTGCTTGCATGAATCCTCCAAGAACATCCTTTTGCACATTTGGCAGTTATCCTCCAACTGTCATTGTTGATATATAAAACTTCGTATCCCTCTCTAATGTTCATTCCACAAGTGCTTCTCTAAATTTTGTAAAATGAGTGAATTTCTTCCCAACCTTTAATTCAAAATTTGGCTTGTTAAACTCCACTGAAGCATTGAAATATGAGTAGTCAGGCCCATTCATCACCAGAATATAGGAAGTCTTCATCTGCAGTCACAGGCTCATTCCATTCCTCACTGTCAGGGCCAATAGGTTGGTCTCCTCCATGCTGATGCTGTGCTGTGGACTCCTCACCTTGTGCTTCCTCATGTTGTTGCTGCTGCTTATTCAAGTCTTCAGTTTGTTGATGCTGTGCTGTGGACTCCTCACCTTGTGGTTGCTGATGTTGTTGCTGCTGCTCATTCAAGTCACCAATTTGCTGATTTGTTTGAGGTACAGTTGAACCAGCAGTTGCAAAGATGTCCTCATCTTCTGCAAATTCTAGGCCCTCTCTCAACCAAGACGGATCAGGTTCTTCATTTCCATCACTGTGGTGCTGCTGTTCATTGTTGACTTGATTCTTCTCAACAGAGGTTCTGTCAAAGTCACAATATTGTTCATTGTTGACTTGATTTGTCTGAACAGAGGTTCTGTCAAAGTTACATTGATTTTCACATTCTTCTTTACTTTGGTTCACTGAAGAAACCTCTTGCTGGCTGTCGACAGCATCTATTCTGGTTGTTTGCTGAAATAATTTTCTGACAGTTTTTCTAGCTGCTCTCTTCACAGGTTGCACCACAGTTTGTCTCTTCCTCGATGGAGTTTTACCACCCTTTCTTCTGTTTTTCTTAGTTGGTTCGAAGGGATTTTGTGTGCCATCATTAGTTTCTACAGCAGTTGGGCCATCTAAATTATTTTCTTGCCCTCTTGTATCACCAATATATGGTTCAAAACCAGTCAGATCAACAGGATTTTGTGAAGCTCCAGCACCTTTTCTAGTCAGATCTGAATTTATCTCTGAAGAACCTTCATTGTACGGTAAAGCAAGTGGACCATCATTCGTCACTCTTTCGAATAAGAGCTTACCATCTGGTGAGATAATTTTGAGAGGCCTCTGACCTGACTCTACATATATATGCATATAAGGAAGCCCTTCATAACAGGTAGTCAACAATTCTATGTCCACGTCATCATTTATTGGGATAACACCTACATCCACATCATGGTCTGGAATGGAATACCAAAATTTTGCACATGCCGCTTCTTTTTCAATTTTGGAGTACAGGTTGAATAATGAAAATGTTGATAACTCATCAGGGTCGCAATTGTGAAACACTCTCACTAAATCACTTGTATACCTAATATTGGGATGATGTATAAACCGCCCACCATAGTGCATGTGGATATCCACTGTCCTAAAAGGATCTGACATGGTCCCCAACCTAAATTATTTAATCAACACTTTTAGAATTCAAATATAGATTAATAAACTATATTAAGCTACATCACACTTTCAGATTATAACAACAATTAGTTATAACAACAATCAGATTATTAAGTGAAATCTGATTTGTAGTCAAATCCAAACCCGACACATATTATTTCCTCCTGACATCAACCACATACTCCAAAAAAGACCCACATTCTCCAAAAAAAGCTAAAAAAGTTAAGATCTTTACATTTTTAAACCCCATTTTCTCTGATAAATCACCTAAATATGGACCACCAACTATAAAAATGACAGATATGAGGTAATGTGGGGTAATGTGGAAAAGGAATAAACAAATTGGAAAAGGATTACAAATCCTAAACATTAAATGGACTGAATATTGAACAATAAGTTCTGATTCTTACCTAGAAATGTCGAACAAGCTTCACGATCAGATTTCCTCACCAATCTGTCTTTCCCTTCTTCGCGACCGAATGCAGCTTCACGATCAGATACAACCACCAATCTGTCACTCCCTTCTTCGCGATCGAATTCAGCCACGGCTTTTTCAACTCAGATTCACTATATTTCAGCAACAATTTAGTATACAAATCCCTTGTCTTAGGGTTTTTTTTCTTACACAGGATGAACGAGAAAAGAGTCAGTTGTTCATTCTCTCTCCCTCTCTATTATAAATGAGGGTATTTTGGGTATTCGACCTGCAGCCGGTAACTCAGCCGGTTAAGAAGTCTATTTCCACTTTAGTTATGAAGTTTAGGGCGTTTATGTGTATGTTTTTAAACGATAGGGGGGTTCCGTGTCTTTTCGCGAAACCATAGGGGGGTTCCGTGTATTTTACCCTTATATTTTTTAATTTTTAAATAGTGATATTAAGAGTTTTAGCATTTGACATGCACATTAAATGAAATAGTGTTAAATAGGTAATAAGAAGTCTAATTAAACTTCTTTTTCTTCTTCTTTTTATTTTTATTTCATTTACTCACATTAATAATATATCATATATTTCTTTTTTTTTTGCATAGTTAGTCTTTCTCCTTATTACTTAAAACACTTTATATTGTCACAATATGATTATAGCTTAAATAGCATATTTTTGTTAAATAAGTTATAAATAAATGATATTGTACCAATAATAATTAAAACATAAAGTATTAGAAAAAAAGAAAATTTTAATTTTTAAAATCTAAGTTTATTGTAGCTACTACTACAAAAATTGATGCATGTGTTATGTACATAGACTTCAAATTCTTGTAGTTATCCATTGTACTTATAAAAACTAGTAAAGGTAAGTATCAATATGAAGTAATTTTGGAAATTATTACAAAAACTATAATTTAGTTTTTATTGTCTTTTCTACTAATTGAAAATTAATGTTCCAATATTATAGTTTTAAAGTATTTATTTTAATATCTATGTATCTTGATAATCATTTAGTAGTTCACATAGTGTGTATGAAATGCCAACTTCATTTCAAATTCAATTGATACCTATTAAAATGCCAAAAAAATCAACTTAATTTAGAAAAGTATATATTCCTTATATTTTAAAGGGATGTTTAATTAAGTTTTTTAATTATCATTAGAAATAAAAATAATAAAACTCATTATAAATTAATTATATGAGGCTAACTATGCAAAATAAAAGAACACATATGATATATAATCAGCATAAATAAGTAAAATAAAAATAAAATAATTAAAAGAAGTTTAATTAGAATAATTATTAATACTATTTCATTCTAATTTGCATCTCAATTTTTACTAAAACCTCTTAATATCACTATTTAAAAGTTAAGAAAATATAATGATTCAAAATCAAAACATTGGGGATCGAAAATATAAAGCCAAAGTTGTTGACTAACTGTAATTTGATGTTGACTGTTAGTCATTGTTTTATTTCCATTTGTTGCCTAAATTTGCCTAAAATCACAAATTTTGGGGGACTAGATTTATTTAAGGCGAACCATTGGGAACTGATTTGACACACAGACCAAACATTAGGGATCAAAATTACAATTCTCCTTAATAAAGCCCAAGCTTTATACATACCCTGGAAACAATCTTTAAGGCCCATGCTGAAGTGCTGTTTTTTAATTCCTAAAGTTATGCCATTCAACCTCTTAGCATTTTGGATGATTTGCAATTTGCCCCCTAATATTATTTTTAAAGTATTTTGCCACCGGTCCTAAATCAAATGTAATGGTATGATAGAAAGACATAGTTACCCTAAGTTTGTAATTGTAATTTTTATCCCATGAATCTTGACTCTAGTTGCAATTTGCCCTCTTAAGATTTACATACTCAATTCGCCACCTATTCATGTCAAAAGATAAAATGATCCTAGATATTTTTCTCATTCATTTTTTACTTTTTGTATCCTTTTTTTCTCTCTTTTAGTATTTCCTTCATTTTTTTTACCATTATTAGGAAATGCATTTCTGTTACTAATTCATTAGTCACAAATATGAAGTTTTACACATTTGTCTAAATAATTTATTTTTGAATTTGATGTGCATTGTAACATAAACAATATATATTTTATTATAGTATGTCATTTTTTTTTTCTTTATGTTCTCTGCCGCAATCTATTATTTTGTTGAAGGTTGGTTTTGTAGTTTGCTGGTTTTCACCATTAATAAGTAATCACAAACTCCCATGTTAAGTGTGTTGCTTGTACACAAAAGCATATATACAATTTACAAATAATTACTTAGATATACATACAAAACTTAGGGGTTCTAATTAGTCAATTCTTAATAAAGATATAATAGGTTTCAAGTGACAAGAGGAAACGACACAAAAGAATTAAAGGAAAAAATGAGAGAAAAAATGTAAATCAGAAAATAAATTAGATGGATGGCTAAAATCCTACAAACTTCTTCAGGTGGAAAAGTGCAATTCAGTTTATAGTTCATGGAAGTAAACTACAAATTAATTTGGATTGTAAGTTATTATACTTTATTTATACCTTATTTACACACACTGATTTGCTTGGCATCATCAACACATTTTTCAATCACTTTTTTATCTCACATATATCATATCAAAAAGTGCTATAGTAACTTTTTGCACAAAATTATCTCAAATAATTTACAATCCAAACACACTCCCTTATGGTTGAAATTTGAAAATGAGGCCAATTTTGGCAATTTAGGCTTATTTTACAATCAAAGCCTGATCTTCACTGAACGGGCAGGGGCAATGTGCTTAGAAAATAACGTTTTGGGCAAAACACAAATCACCCCAAACGTTAAGGGGGTTTGATGCCATTAACCATTTTTTTCTTTCAACATTTTTTTTGGGTACGGTCCCGTCCAAATCCAGCGATGGCCGTTGCCATTTAGCCCCAAACCCAAGTCGATAGGGCCCAAATTTGAAAATCTGACCGTTATGTGAAGCCGTCCTCTCCAGTCTCCTCCTCTCTCTGCAACCCAAATTGCAATACTCTCTCTGTTGCGTCTATCAAATCCTAAAACACCACTTTAGTAGTTGAACATAAACATGGTGAATGAAGAAGTAGTTGTAATCAAGAGCCCGCATCAAAACTCAAGGAACCCTCCTCAAAAATCAAAAGAAGTTGCCCAAAATGGAGGAGATAGAAAAGAGACCTTGTTCAGCCCCAGGTTCAGATCCGTGGCAGCAATGGCTGGCTGGGACGAGGAGGCTCTTATGATGGCCAGTATTGTAGTTGAAGACACCCCAGATAGGCATTTCAAGCAAAAGAAACGCCCCACTTTGCAAAGTCTCAAGACTCCCCCTACGAATTCAAGAAGGTAAATACATGTTTTTTTTATGGGATTCATGTATTGGTTCGATTCATTTTCATACCATTGAGTAAGAAAATTGAGGTATTTCCAGAAAACGCAGAGTGCAAAGGAGGAGTCCTTCTTCTCTGCCAGTGGTTGCTCTTGATCTTGAGGATGACGAGACTCCAACAGAATCAGGTATATACTCAGATCAGGGATTTCTTTTTTTTTTTTTCTTTGATTCTCTTAAATCTTTCTTTTAGATTTATTTGATTTCTTCGGTATTTTGACTTTTTAGACCTCTTTTTTTAAAATAAATTTGTGAGTAGAGACCAAGAAAGAGATGACAGAATCAACAACTGTTCGAGATGAAGAGAATAAAAGAAGTGGAAGTCAATCCGATGCACAGAGTTCCATTATTTCCCCTTCCAGTTCAGCTATTCCATGCATCGATCGACTTCGTGAAGAGCTTTCTTGTGCAGTAAGAGCTACAAAACTCCTCTATTTGATAACTCTCTGTCCGTAGCTTCTTTCATAAGATTCTTTGATTAAGAGTATTTCCTGTTGTATTGTGGGAAAAATGAAAGGTTTCATTCTGATTCGGCAGGTTTGTTTGGAGATTTGTTTTGAGCCCAGCACAACTCCTTGTGGGCATAGGTATGATCCTGAATTGATTAGTAACTATTTTGGCCAAGCTTTTATTTAGAACTCTGTCAATCGATTGCGAGTAATTTTTTTTTTTGGCGTAGTTTTTGCAAAAAGTGTTTGAGATCCGCTGCTGATAAATGTGGAAAGAAATGCCCAAAATGCAGGCAGCTAATCAGGTAATATAATCTTATGAGTAATGAAATTTATCTTGGATACACAGTCCATGGATGGGGGCTTCAGTAACTTTAAGATTGATTTTGCTGACGATTCCAAATCATGTTGCAGCAATGGAAGGTCCTGCACGGTGAATACAGTTCTTTGGAACACAATTCAGATGCTATTTCCACAAGAAGTTGAAGCCAGAAAGGCAGCCGGTGCTTTAAATAGTCGCGAAGTTCAGCGTCAGAGTCCAACAAGACCGAATCATACTAATGCTAGGAACAGAGCTGTTCAAGCGTTAAGCAGTCCCGAGTCAGGACATCGCAGCCCCAGCAGCAGAAGGGTTATCAGATTACCAGAAGACAGAGTGTCCAGCCTTCTAGGTTGTCGAGGAGGAGAAATGAGTTGCCAAGCCAGGATCAGGATGCTGCATTGGCTTTGAGATTGCAAAGAGAAGAGTTTATGGGGGCATTTAGGGGACCTGATGATGAATATAGAAACTCTTTTGCAATGGCAAGAGCTAACTTGCGGGCTATGGCATCTCGGGCCATTAGAGCTAGAGGGCTCTAGCATTAGTGATGTTCTGCACTTTTACTTTGTTGCTTAGTCTTCTGGCATTTTCTGTCAATTGTATGCCTAGTTGGCTTGGTCCTTTTCCTCAATGGAAATAACCTTAATTAGATGTCTCAAGATTTTTCAACCACGCTGAAAAAAAAATGGTTTCAAGTTCTACCACTACCTTATGATAGTCATAAAGTTGCTAAGGAGCCATGATGTGGACATGTCAATTGCCAAATGCAACTGTGTGATGTTCAGGGAATGGAACAAGAACATTACTTTTAGGTACGGATTCCAAATGCGAATAGATGTAAGACTATGTTGAATCAGCCAAGAAAAGAAGAGATTTGAACATTTTTTGTTCCCATACCAAGTCATTTTGAGAATTTTAATTGCAATCATGGTGTTTTATAGCAGATCTAGCACTTCTTGATGCAATCTTTCTCCCTGGTTTCCTTTCTTTCATGTGAGGTTTTTCAAAACCTATCTAGGTAAGAACATGACAATCATTTTTTGAAAATATGGCACCACGCAATAAACTGATCTCCCCGTCTTTCCTTGAACTGCATTGTATACCTGATTGACAATTTTCTCATACTATCAATTCACCTTAGACCATTGAAATTATTTGTAACTCTCCCCCCATTTACCTAGGAAACTACAAGAATACTTTCTTTAAACCTCTTTTTTATGTTCTGTTATTTGTCGGTTTAGGTGTGGGATGTGAATTCATGCTAAACTTACACTTGTTCCAATTCCTGTCAGAAAAGAGCCATGTTTGAGAAAGTCCAAGGTTACAACGTGAGCTTTACCTAATCCTGACAGGAATTGGAACAAGTGTAACCTTGTTTATACAGCTTTTCAACAGGTGTATTTTTATATGATCGATACATAATCTCTATAGAGCAGACACTGGAAATAAAATTGGACACCTGCTATAGCTGGACTTTAATAGAATTGGTGGAATAAAAAAGTACAGAACATTCAAAATCAGTGAGTCTGTTTGGACAAAGGAAATTTAGAAAAAAAAAATTTGCCTCACAAATTCCAATCACCTTTTTATCTTCCCAACCACCTTTTTATCTCACATACATCACATCACAAAAATGCTACAGTAAATATCTCAAATAAATCATCCAAATAAACTCTTTTCCAAACAAACTCAGTGTATATTACCTTGACAGATTGACTATGATTACAATCGTCAAATTTCCCGTTATTTGTACACAACACTACCAATGGAGAGTGAATACTACATCAGATCTCTGTCTATTGATATTTTTGGCTTCATAAAAAAAGAAACAGTCTGCAATGACCTAAACTTTCGACAGGATTGTATCATCCGGTGTCCTTTCAAATATGTCTGAAGCCATGCATGCGCAAATAAACTGAATAGTTGACCTTAGCTTGAAGGAAAGACTTGGCCAAGTAACACCCCCCACCTTACCCACGCCAGAAGCTAGCTCACACCCGAGCTTGGAACACAACTATAAAAGAGTGCAACTGGTTACAATTTACTGGACCATTCTCGTCTTGGAAAATGGCAAATGCAAGATCGTTCTCGCCTTTTTGCTCAGTTTGCATTCAGGTGACAGTCTTGATACTATTGATGGCCATTTATTCAGGAGCAGCACCTTCCCCTGCAGCCGAACCGGGTTCATCCCCTCATCCTAGTGCTCATAGGGGGAGAACTCATTCTCCAGGATCCGCGCCATCTCCTCAACCTGGCAATGGGGGACTGCTGCCGCTGATTTCTCCCCTCCTTTCTTCATATCCATGCTCATCGCTTCCTTACTACCACCCTTCCTCTGTTACTCTTACTGAGTTTCCATACATGTATTCAGATTGTTCAGCACCTTTATCTGGCCTTATGTTGTATCTTTACTTGTTTTCATGATTCCTTGTTTGAAGAGCATCTAAGAGGGCGCACCATTACTGCCACATGGGACATGGTTGGATTTTCTTGGTTGGATGATTGTTTTCTTTCCAAATAAGACAGCCCTCAATAGTCACTCTTTCTGTTCTATTGTACATTGCCACTCTTGTGTAATACAACATCTGTTCTGTGAATGGCATGGAAGGTTATATTTTCAACTTGATAAAATTTGTTGTTCCAAATTTGAGTCATTTCTCTCTTTTTTATTCTTAATAAACTGACAAGTTCTAGCTCAAAACTAATGGTTATAGGGGAAACTTATTGTTTTATCTGCTATTTATGTGGTAAAGTAAAGTTACCAAGGCACCAAACTTAAGTGACAAAGTTTGCAAAATGATCAACAGAAGGTCACAAGAACATACTTTGTTCCATTCCAAAAGTCTAGGATGACAATCATTCTGATAAAGCTAACTAAAATTTTCCCTGTAACTACAAATTTGCCCCAACACAAAGGACATTTGCCTAACAATAAGTATTCAAACCCGGCTTTTGCATCTTGAAATGAATTCTTCACCCTCCTTAAGATTAGGAGAAACTAGTCCAATAAGCAATCTATAAAAGTTGCCAGTTGCAACACAAAAGACAGTAGATAACTCACAGCAAAAGCTAGTTACAGGAAGCTTTTTGAATTATACATACCAATGTAGAGTATGTTATACGAATAATACGAGTATTTACTAACTACGTTCTAATCCATCATACACTTCCAAGACAATTGGCAATGGCCAGAAAATAATTGCTTTGAAAGAAAAAGACAATGGATGAGGTATATTAGTTGAATTAATCAATTTCTATGTCTCGTCATAAAAAAAAATTATATTAATCGTGTCGCACTGCTGTTTATCTAATTATTTTAGATCAGGAAGTTACTCCAGGTAAACAATTGAGAGGACCAGCATCTGAGATCAAACAAGGAACCAAATCTCCTGAAGCCACAGAAAATAATTGAGATCCAGAATACAGAGGAGAGCTGCTTCCTGTTTGAACAAAATAAGCCTCATTAAGGAACACATCATTCGAGCTTCTCCAATTCCAATTATTCCATACTTCCGGACCATCCATAGTATCTCTCTTAGTAACCTACCAAAAACAAAAAAAAAGGATAATTTTCTTTCCTGTTTTTGGTAGATATAAATTCTGGCATACAAAATTATGATATTATGAGGTAAAAGATTATTCAGAAAAAAATTTGGAACAATGATGTCGCACTTTTTGTATTATGATATAGGTAGAAAGAAAACGAAAAAGGTGATTGGAAATTGCTTTTTATATGCAAAAAATAAAGAAAAACATTTTTTTCCTAAAATGGCAATTCGAACAAAGCATGAGCAAATCATATGCATAATCTTGCATTAATAATTCGCTTTCCGTTCATGGTAGCTATCTACTGTGGCAAAAGATTATTCAGAAAATTTTTTTGAGAATAATACCGTACATGAGAAAATAACATGGTTAGAAACAACATATGGCTGAAGACTTTCATGCATGATTATTGAACTCATTCTTGGAGACTTTCATGCATTAATATTGCTGAACACTTGAATATAGTGGAATGTTTTATTTTCAGCCTTAACAAATATTGATGCATTTTTGACGCAGATAGATATCCTACTTAATTTTTTTCAGATCCTTCATTTTGTTATGATGTTAACTACTTTTGCTTAATTTATTATTATTATTTATTGGTTTATCTTATCATTTCATTTTCTCGTAGTTTGCTAACTTGCTCATTTTTCAGCATTACCAATTTATGATAAATTTTAGCCTCCTTTCCTACTTTTCCAAAATGAAAATTTAAATATACACACAAAAAAAATGCTAGAGGTTCAAAGATTTTAGATGAAGTTTTTATGTTAACTTTTATAGTACTTAGTTCAAATTTTTATATTCCTATTGTTCAATTATTAAATAGTATGTAATTTTGTGATATAGAGTACAGATGGAAAAAAATTGGTAATTATGTTTATTGAGCATTATAAGTAAATATTTAAAACTAATAATGGGTGCCAAGGGTGGTATAAATTGATAATTTAGTTTGCAAAAATGAATTTAAATGGGTTTACAAAAAATTAAAATAAAGGTAATTGAATTATTCAACTTATTTTTTAACTTATCCATTTATATCCATCTAATTAAATAGGTATAAATGAGTCGGGAAGTCGGGAACAAATGAGTTGACTCATTTATACCCATTATCTATTTCAACCCATCTAAATCACCCATTTTGAGATCTCTACTTACGATGAGTTTGCTCCAACACTAAAGGCAATCTTCTACAGGATGTAATAAAACTATTCTCTTGATTTCTCAAAACAAAGTGTAAAACCTGTACTTCAATTCTGATTGAATCCTCGTTACACAGATGTTAAAAGAGGTGTTTGAAGAGTTATTTTTGTGTTTTAGACAGTGGATTATAGTAGTTACAAGTACCGAGTTGGGATGGCCGAACATTTGAGTCCAAACGGGCGATAGTGTCTAGAGAGCTACATTAAATCTTGACACAGTTCGGACTTCAAAACATTTAGTTTGGGCCATGAACATCCACTTTGACAGATTTGCATAGTTTTTGCAAACAACTCAATAATCCCCCACTAATTTGCAAAACTTATGCATCCTAACCCATGGAGTCTCCAATGGTACAACTTTAACCGAAGAATCTTAAGCATAATTAGAAGTATCTCTTGATTTAAACTTCCAATTGGTGTAGGCGATTTAAATTTTGAATTGAGTTGGTTGTTGGCATTCTTAAATTAAACTATAACTCTTATATGTCAAAAACAAAAACACACAATTAATGATTGTCTTCTTTTCTGAAGAGGTTAATATGAGCTTTAATTAGAGCTATTTTAGCCACATGCTAATCCTAATTGATCACAATCATCTACAAAGTATACTCAAACTCTTGTTGACATGGCATCACTTCAATATTTATATAGGTGAAATTGTACTTGTAGATTTCTATGTTTATGTCAGCAGTCCAACTCAAGGGATACTTGTAATATCGTGTTGGCAATTATGATTGTGACCTAAAATGCTGCACCAATTTTTCTCAAAAGTCACTATTTTGGTTCCCAAACAGCCACAGGATGCTATCCACTAAATCTGAGGTATGAGAGGTAAAAACTACTGAGTTTGTTTGGACAAAGAGAATTTGGAAAAAAAAAATTTTGCCTCACAAATCCCAATCACCTTTTTATCTTTCCAACTACTTTTTTATCTCACATACATCACATCACAAAAAT